GAAAGACCTCAAATTGAATGGAAAACAAAACAAAACAAAAAAACCCACCAATGGATTCCAACATGGAGATGGCAGAGATGTTAAGAGTTTTCCGACCAAGAGTTTAAACCAGCCACGATAAAAATGCTTCAGTGAGCAATTACAAATATGCCCAACGCAAATGAAAACATAACCTCAGCAAACACACAGGAGGTATAAAGAGAAACAAATGGAAATTTTAGAACCGAAAAATACAATAACTGAAATGGAAAGCTCAGCGGGCGGGCTCCACAGCAGAATAAAGGAGACAGAGGAGAGAATCAGTGAACTGGAAGATGGAACAATAGAAATTGCCCAATTTGAAAAACAGAGAGAAAATAGACTGGGGGCGGGGTGGCGTGGGGCCGGGGAGGTGGGGGGAAAGAAGGGATTCAAGAGCTTCAGGTTCTTGTGAGACTATAACAAAAGATCTAATGTCTGTGTCGCCAGAGTCCTTGAACAAGGAGAGGAGAAAGAGGAGAAAGAGGGCAGGAAATCATGGCCAAACACACTCACAAGTTGATAGAGGATATAAACCTACAGATTTGAGGAGTTGAATAAATTCCAAAGAAGATAACCCAAAGAGAGCCACTCCAAGACACATTATATGATAAAGAACATTATAAACTGATGAACAAAAAGATAGTTACTGAGGCAGTAAAGCATCAAACAGACTGTCAAATGACCGCGGGAAGGTTAGGGAGAAGTGGGGGAGACACGAGATCACCGAAGGACTGGTGTGCATGCATATCAGCATAACCAATGGACACAAGACACTGTGGGGTGAGGGCATGTATGGGAGTGGGGTGGATGGGTAGACAATGGTAAAATATGTACACATAAACACCTTAATTTAAAAAATGGGGAATTTTTTTATTTTTAATTTTTATTTATTTTTTAAATATATTTTACTGATTTTTCACAGAGAGGAAGAGAGAGGGATAGAGAGTCAGAAACATCGATGAGAGAGAATCATCAATCAGCTGCCTCTTGCACACCTCCCACCTGGGATGTGCCTGCAACCAGGTACATGCCCCTGACCAGAATCGAACCTGGGACCTTTCAGTCCGCAGGCCGACGCTCTATCCACTGAGCCAAACCGGTTTTGGCAAAAAAAATGGGGAAATTTTTTTTTTAAAAGACACATTATAATTAAACTTCTGAGAACTAAAGATAAAAAGGAGAGTATTGAAAGCAACCAGAAAAAAACAACACCTTATGTTGAGGGGAAAAAACATTTCAATAACGGCAGACTTCTTATCAGGAACCGTGGAGGCCGGAGGAAGGGACACAATCACCTTAAAATGCTGGCAGTTCTTTTTGGGCTCAGTGAGAATGTCCTTCGGGAATGACGGGCCAATGTATTTGGAGAATTTTCAGATGGAGGAAAACCAAGAGAATTTACTCGTTAGAAAAGGACTCAAAGAAATGCCACACACAAAGGAAACTATACAAGAAGGCGCCGTGGAACATTAGAAGAGGTGAGAGAACATGGGGAGCAAAATCAGGGTTCGATGCAATAGGCTTTCTTTCTCCTCCTGAGTTCTCTAAATTATGTTCGAGAGTTAAAGCAAAAGGGATCCTACTATCTGACGTAAAGAGACCAAACCTTAAAGACAGATATATTATCAATTTGGGAAGGTAAAGAGACCGAAAGGGAGGTAAGATTTCTCTGCTTCGCTCAAACTGGCAAAATTATCACGCCATAGACTGAAATACGTTATGTAGACATAATGCAGTACCCAGAGCAACCACTAAAAAGCTATACAAATAGATGCACTAAAAACCAAAATAGGTAAATCAAATGGAATTCCAAGAAATGTTTAGGTAGCTTATGGGAAGGCAGAAAAAAAGAAAACACAGAAATGAAAAACAGAGAAAAAACAGAAACCAAAAAAATAAATAAATAAATAAAAGGTAGATTGAAGTTCTGTCATGTCAAGAATTATATTCATTGCAAATGGTCTAAATATACCAATTAAAAGATAGCTATTGGCAGATTGGGTTAAAAAAGGATGATATTTAAAAAAAAAAAAAAAAACTATGTGAGGAAAAAAAATGAAAAGTAAACCCTATATGTTATCTCCAAGTGACTCACTTCAAATATAATGATACAGGCAGGTTAAAAATTAAAGATTGGAAAAAGATATGTCATGTAAGCATTAATCAAGCAAGGGAAAGCAGGAGTGACTAGACTTCAGAGGAAAGAAAATTACAGACGGAGAGGGGTAGTATATAATAATAAAAGGACAATCTATCAAGAAGATACAGCAATCCTAAATGCTACGCACCAAGCAGCAGAACTACAATATATGTGAAACAAAACAGTTAGAGCTGCAGAGAAATGGACAAATTTACAATCATGGTTGGAAGGATCAGCCCACCCACCCCTCTCTTTTTAAAAAATATATTTTTAATTGATTTTTTATAGAGAGGAAGGGAGAGGGATAGAGAGCTAGAAACACTGATGAGAAAGAAAGTCTATCAGCTGCCTCCTGCACACCTCCCACTGGAGATATGCCCACAACCAAGATACATGCCCTTGACCAGAATCAAACCCAGGACCCCTCAGTCCATAGGCCCAAATGTCCTTGGAGGGGTGTACAATAAACGCCTGATGAACATCCATACCATGGAACACTACTCGGCAGGGAAAGAAATGAACCACTGATACATGTGGCACTTTGGATGAACCGCCAAAGAATTACGCTGAGTGCAAAAGAGCTAAGCCCCCTACGAATTCAATTTTATACCATTTGAGTGTGTGTGTGGGGGGTTACCAATGACCAAATCGATGTCGCAAAGAACCAAAGTATAGAAATAGAGGACAGATTGGCGGCTGCCAAGGTTAAGGAGGTGTGGGCGTGGGAGGGAAGCGGGTATGGATATAAAAGGGCATCTTTGTGGTGATGGAAATGTTCAATATCGTGACCGTTTCAATGTCAGGCTCTGGGCTGGGATACTGTCCTCGCAGCTTTGCAAGATGTGACCATTGGAGGGACTAGAAAGGGCACCTGGAATGTCTCTGTATTACTATTTATTTTTATTTTTCCGTCACCATGTACCCCCCCCCATGCTTGGTATCATATCGTAGAATTGCATGGGAATCTACAAATATCTCAAAACGTTGATTAAAATAATATTTAGGGGCCTATAGGACAGACGAGAGTGGCTTGAGCAATAATATGAGGATGAGAGAGTGAAGAAGTCTGTGGGAAACCCTCTTTAGAGAAGGTAACTTTTTATTGAGAACAGTTTTTTGGTGTGTGTTGTGTGTGTGTGTTGTGTGTGTGTGTGGTGTGTGTGTGTGTGTGTGTGGTATGTGTGTGTATGGTGTGTGTGTGTGTGTGTTGTGTGTGTTGTGTGTGTGTTGTGTGTGTTGTGTGTGTGTTGTGTGTGTGTGTTGTGTGTGTGTGTGTTGTGTGTGGTGTGTGTGTGTGTGTGTGGTGTGTGTGTGTGTGTGGTGTGTGGTGTGTGGTGTGTGGTGTGTGTGTGTGTGTGTGTGTGTGTGGTGTGTGTGTGTGTGTGTGTGTGTGTGTGTGTGTGTTGTGTGTGTGTGTGTGTGTGTGTTTGTGTGTGTTGTGTGTTGTGTTGTGTGTGTTGTGTGTGTTGTGTGTGTTATGTGTGTGTGTGTATGGTGTGTGTGTGTGTGGTGTGTGGTGTGTGTGTGTGTGTGTGTGTGTGTGTGTGTTGGGATGGCCAAAATTCCTCCAGAGGTTCCTGGTGGTGAAACCGTTTTCTTTGATGGATCAAGTGCTGGGCTTTATGGGCTGTGGTTTGAAGCAGAGCAGGCGGGGTCAAGTTTGGCAGAGGCCTGGGGCGGTCAGGGGGTCGAGAGCCAGGCCGGCTTAGGCGGCAGGGATGACAGGGCGGCCACGTCCTCCTCCTCCGGTCTGGGGCTGCTGAGCTCGGGCCCAGGGCAGGAAGCCTCCGGGGTCCCTGGGGCGCCTCATGGTCACAGTGACCGTCCGGGAAATGTGAGGGGAGAGAAGCAGCCCCCCCAAGAAGCAGCGCCCTGGGCTAGGCAGAGGCCCAGGCCTCAGAGGCAGCGGCTGGACCCCAGGGGTGATGCTGAGGTTCCTGGACCCTGGCAGCGCCAGGCCTGTCCCTCTGAGCACCCTGGACGCAGGTTTTGTCCTGCGTGTTTGATCCAGAGCAGCGGAGCGGGGCCTGGGGACACCTGGGCTTTGGCAAACAGGTGCTGCCCTCAGAGTCTGGCTGGGCAGCAGCTTGCATTTCTAACCAGCTTCAGGAGATGCTGGGGCCGCTGGCCCGGGCCGCGCTGTGAGAAGGCGGGTGTGAGAGGGCGCAGGAAGGCTGGAAACTAGGGGGCCAGGCATCCCCCCATCCCGCCTGAGGTGTGCTTGGGCAGTGGCCCGGCACCTGCAGGGAGGGAGGGGCAGTGAGGTGAGCCAGTGCTGGGGTGACCAAAGGGAATGGCAGAGTCTGGGGGTGGGGTGGGGAGGGGAGGAGGGGCTGGCCACTTCTAGGGGAGCTGGCATCCGATGGAGGCGCTGATGCTACTACGTGTGTGTGAGGGGTGAGTGGGGTGGGGGCGCCGCGATGGGGCGCTAAGGAGGACCCTGGGGGTCCTGGGGCAGCTGGGCTGTGAGGTCCAGGGAGTCCTGTAGGGGGCAGGGCAGCAATGGGGGAAGGGGTGCGATTCCTAGAGAGGCTGGGAGAGGAAATTGGGGGGCGGGGAGCTGATGTTCAGCTTCCAGGGGCTGAGAGGCATGTGAGATCGGGATCTGGAGCCCAGAGAGCGGTGGGGGGGACTGAGCCCGGTGCCAAAGGCAATGTGAGGGTCCCGGAAGCGCGCGGGGGCGTGGAGGGGGGAAAGAGAGAGAGCGGGTGGCGAGTGCCCATCGGCTCCGAGGAATACGGCGGGGGCGTGGCCAGGCGCCGTGAGGGGCGGGGCCGGGGCGGGAGGGGCGTGGTCGGGACCTGGAGGGGCGGGGCCGGCGCCGGGGGGCGGGGCGCCGGGGGAAGCACCCAGGTCCCCCGGAGTCCGGCGCCGCCGCCCCGCCGCCCCGCCGCCTCCGCCACCGCCGGCCCCGCCGTGACGCCCTGCAAACACCCCGGGTCCGGGCCGCGGCTCCCAGGTAACCAGGGCGCGAGACGGGGAGGGGGGCCCTAGGCCAAGCCCCGACTCCATCCTGAGAACTCCCCAAGCCCCGGAGCCCTTCCTACTGGGAGGCAGAGGGCGCGGAGCTCAGGGACCTGCTCCCCCAAAGTCTACCCAGGCCCCAGAAACTTCCCCTGAGCCCCATTTCTGCAGAGGGCCCGGGTTTGGCCAGACCTCACCCCTACCCCGTCCCAGTAGCCCGGAACCCTCTGCTCTCTCCCTGCCCCCAGGTCTGCCGTGCCCCAGGGGCATAACCCAGCCCAGGCAGCCCCCACTTTCTGCACCCCACTTTCCTGTTCTCTAAGCTCCTCCAAGTCCCAAGAGAGTTTTCTCTATCCCACATGCCCCCACTGCCCACCCCCACCTGGCCCCACTGCCCACCCCCACTGCCAACCCCCGCCTGCCCCCACCCCCACCTGGCCCCACCTGCCCTCTCCCCACATGCCCCCACTGCCCACCCCCACCTGGCCCCACTGCCCACCCCCACTGCCAACCCCCGCCTGCCCCCACCCCCACCTGGCCCCACCTGCCCTCTCCCCACATGCCCCCACTGCCCACCCCCACCTGGCCCCACTGCCCACCCCCACTGCCAACCCCCGCCTGCCCCCACCCCCACCTGGCCCCACCTGCCCTCTCCCCACATGCCCCCACTGCCCACCCCCACTGCCAACCCCTGCCTGCCCCCACCCCCACCTGGCCCCACTGCCCAGCCCCACCTGCCCTCTCCCCACATGCCCCCACTGACCACCCCCACCTGTCCCCACCCCCACTGCCCACCCCAGCCTGCCCCACCCCCAGCCATCCCCACTGCCCACCCTACAACTTAGGCTCATGGCCAGCTGCCTGCAGTCCTTGAACTTCCTCGCCTGGCCCTGGGCGCTCCTGTCCACCTTCTCCCCCAGTCCCGTGCTTTCTGTCCCTGCAGAGGGGCAGGAGCGGAGCCGGGCACCTGGGCGGTGTGAGCAGAGCCGGGCCTCCGTGCAGCCGGCCTGTCCCGGCCGCAGCTGCCAGGACGCTGCAATGGAGAGTTTGGGGTGGAGGGCCTGGCGGGACCACAGCAGCCCCTGGGGGCTGGGCTTGCTCCCACAGGTGCTCTGCCTGCTCCTTCCAGAGGGTGATGGCTCCTGTGCCAGCCATTCCTGCCCCCCCACCCCCCCAGAGCTGTGCCCTCTCCTGGCCAGCCGCCGGCCTCTCTGTGCCTGGAGCTGGCTGCTCCCAGCCCTCCCCTCCGGCAGGACCGCGGGGCTGGGCGTGACCTCACCACCTCCCTGCTGGAGGGTGGGTGCTGCTCCCCGCCAGGCCTGGCCACAGGGTGGCAGCGGTTCCTCCCCCAGGGGCGCTGGACCCGCTGTGGGTCTGGTGCCTGCTGCTTCCGCAGGAACCAGTGTGCCGGCCATGACCACGGGCGCCGGGAGGCCCTGGGATCCCGGTGGGGGGCGGGGGGGCGGGGGGGCGCCCTGCCACGGCTCACGCCCCCTGGAAGTTACACCTGTGGGTGCTGAGCCGGGTCCGGCCAGGGGGTGGCGGGCGGAAGGGTGAGGAGGACAAGTCCTGGGAGAAGCATGCTTTCGGTCCCCAAATATCCAGCTCCCACTCCGCGCTAGGCACGTCCGAGCGAGGTGCTGGGCTGGAGCCGTTAACCAGACAGAACAGGCCGAGCATCGGGGAGCGGACATCGGAGGGCGGAGGGCGTTCTGCCTCTCTGAAGAGGCCACCTTTGCGGGGAGCCCTGGAGTGGCAGAGTGAACGAGGGGCCGTCGGAGGGAACGGTGCTGCAGCAGGGAGCAGCAGCAGGGGTCTGCGTGGGCAGGTGGAGAAAGAAGGAAGGCCAGGGCCCTAGCCGGTCTGGCTCAGGGGATAGAGCAGCAGCCTGCGGACTGAAGGGTCCCAGGTTCAGTTCCGGGCAAGGGCACAATGCCGGATGGCAGGCTTGATTCCCAGTTGGTGAGAGAAGTGGAGGGGGAAGGCCTGCAGGAGGCAGAGACCAATGATCCTCTCTCATCACTGATGTTTCTCTCTCTCCCTTTCCCCTCCCTTCCTCTCTGAAATCAATAAGAATAAAGAAGAAGGAAGGCCAGGTGTGCTGAGCAGGGGGAGACAGGGTGGGGTGGGCAGGGGCCGGGGGAGAGCAGAGCAGAGCAGCCCTGAGGGTGTGGAGACGGCACCCCTTTTCTCTCCTAAGGCCCAGGAACAGGACTGTTCACATGCCCCCCGCCCCGTGGCTCCTCTGCCCAGATGGGTGTTTGATCTCTTTGCCACCCGCCTTGGGTGAGGCCTGCAGTGTTTCAGATGGGGGTTCCTGGTGGGAATTTGCAGAGGAGGGGGCGGGGAGCGGGGAGCGGGGAGCGGGGAGCGTGGGGCAGGGGGGAGGCGGACGGGGAACCCCTCCTGGATCTGATAGAAATCACACTCTCCCCGGTGCTGGTGAGAATCCTGCCCACGGGGGTGGGGTGGAGGGGTGGGGGTTGGGGTGAGGGAGACAACGGGGGAGCCGGGTGTCCAGGCAGGGATGTCCCCGAGCCCTGATAAGATCCCCTCCTCCCAGGCGGGAGGCCCAGCCCGGCAGGCAGCTCTCCTGCCCTGTCATTGGCTGCCAACCGCAGGAGCAGCGTTTGTTCTGGAGCCAAGGCCTCCGGGCAGAACCCAGGTGCTCCGAGGGGGGTGCTCGGGGAGGCAGCCCTCGGGGAGCCCCGGCCCTCCCTCTGCTGGGCACACAGAGGCCCTGCCCCAGGGTGGTGCTGTGGCAGCTGGGACGGGACACGGGGGCCCTGGTCCCCCCCCAGCCCCCCACGCAGTGGTGAGGGGCCTGCTGGTCGCCCTGCCTCGCTGCTCTGGGTGCTCAGAAGCCCACGACCCTTCCCTGCTGCAGGCCGTGAGGCGGAGCCGGTGGGGGCTCCGGAGACCAGGGGATGTGGCCCCAGACGGCAGTTCCTGGCCTCCACAGTCAGGCTGGCCCTTCCTTCCTTCCTTCCTTCCTTCCTTCCTTCCTTCCTTCCTTTCTTAAATATATTTTATTGATTTTTTTTTTTTTTTTTTTTTTTTTTTTTTTTTTTTACAGAGAGGAAGAGAGAGGGATAGAGAGTTAGAAACATGGATAAGAGAGAGACATCGATTAGCTGCCTCTTGCACACCCCCTACTGGGGATGTGCCCGCAACCAAGGTACATGCCCTTGACCGGAATCGAACCCTGGACCTTTCAGTCCACAGGCCGACGCTCTATCCACTGAGCCACACCGGTTTCAGCTGTGGCCATTTCTTTAGCTTAACGCAGTGCCTTCCTTCCCTTTGGGGCCTCCACTGGCCACCGCATCCCATTGCCTGCCAAACTGTGGTCCGCCCGTTGCCTCTTCCCCCTCCCTCCCTCCCCGTCCCCGTGGCTGTGCTTGCCCCTGCCCTTTGCCCCCCAGGCTCTTCTGCTGGGGTATTTCCGTGGGTCTGTTCTGGGGCCCGGTGGGGGCCCACGGACAGACAGCGGCCAGTCGCTGAGGGGATGCCGCCGGGCAGGGAGCTGGGGGGCGGGAGGAGAGGCCCGCCAGGCCCGGGGGTCACGGCTGGGCTGTGGTGGCTCCGCAGCTGGGCGGCCGCTCTGGAAGTGAGCACAGCCCTGATTTCCGGGGCAGCAGCTCTGGCTTCGCCGTGGGCAGGCAGGTGCCTCGTGGGTTTATCTTCTCATTTAAAGCAGGCGGGTTGGCCCTAGCCGGTTCGGCCCGCAGACCGAAGGGTCCTGGGTTCAGTTCCGGTCAAGGGCGTGTACCTCAGCTGCAGGCTTGATTCCAGCCCCGGTCGTGAGTATGTGCGGGAGGCAACCCTCTGCTGTGTCTCTCTCACATCGATGCTTCTCTCTGTCTCCATTCCACTCTCTGAAAATCAATGGGAGCCCTAACCAGTGTGGCTCAGTGGATGGAGCGTCGGCCTGCAGACTAGAGGGTCCCGGGTTCGATTCCGGTCAAGAGCATGGACCTTGGCCGGGACCAGGTTAGCTCAATGGATAGAGCGTCGACTTGGGGACTGAAGGGACCCGGGTTCGATTCCGGTCAAGGGCATGTACCTTGGTTGCGGGCATATCCCCAGTAGGGGGTGTGCAAGAGGCAACTGATCGATGACTCTCTCTCTCATCGATGTTTCTAACTCTCTATCCCTCTCCCTTCCTCTCTGTACAAAATCAATAAAATATATTAAAAAAAAAAAAAAAAAAAAAGAGCATGGACCTTGGTTGCGGACACATCCCTGGTAGGGGGTGTGCAGGAGGCAATTGAATTGATGTTTCTAATTCTCTATCCCTCTCCTTTCCTCTCTGTAAAAAAATCAATAAAAATATATACATATATATATATTTTTTTAATATATTTTATTGATTTTCCACAGAGAGGAAGGGAGAGGGATAGAGAGCTAGAAACATCGATGAGAGAAAAACATTGACCAGCTGCCTCCAGCACACCCCCTACCGAGGATGTGCCCGCAACCAATGTACATGCCCTTGGCCGGAATCGAACCCGGGACCTTTCAGTCCGCAGATCCACGCTCTATCCACTGAGCCAAACTGGTTTGGCAATAAAATATATATTTTTTAAAAATAAAAATCAATGGGAAAATATCCTCATGTGAGGATTAGCAACAACAAAAATAGGTGATTTATCCTCACTTTTTACTAATGGGGAAACTGAGGCCGGGGGCCGCCTGCTGCCATCTTGGAGGGGACTCTGTGGAGCTGGTCCTTGCTGGCGGGAGGCGGGAGCGCAAGGCAGCCCCAGGGGCAGGCAGCGGAGACCATCTCTGACCGACAGAGCCGGGTGTGGCAGGGCTGATGGGGGTCAGTGCCAGGGAAGGGGTCCCAGCCCACACTCTGCAGGAGGAAAGCAGACCCCTTGGGCATCCCACTTGGGAGGGTGTTGGATGCCAGTCCGGGCGAGAGGAAGTGAGCTGGCAGGGAGGCGCTGAGGTGGGCTGAAGAGGCTGCCAGCGAGGGGGTCAGAGGGTAAGACCGGGGAGCCTCACCCGCGTTGCCCGCCTTGTCTGCGTGTGCCCTGCGGGGCAGCCCCATCTGTTCCCTCTTTAGGGGCCTCACGGACAGGCTTCCCGGAGATTAATTAACGCCAGGCTGCCGGCAGACCCATGCCCGCCCCAGGCTCTGTCCTGGCAGCTCCGAGGCCCAGCGGACCCCAGGAATGCTGCTCCTTCCCGGCCGGCAGTTGTGGCACATGGGGGGCCGGGCTGCTGTGGCAGGGAGGGCTCGGGCGGTGGCAAGCAGCCAGAGATGGTCGCGGGACATTCCCCCCTCGGCCTGGCCCCATCTCCCACCCCGAAGCTTCTCGTCTGTCCCTGGCTGTGGCCCGGGCTCGCTGTGTGACCACAGCCAGGCTGCTCAGCCTCTCTGAGCGGCTTTATTTTCCCGCCTGTAAGATGCACGGGGCCGGTGCCGAGTCTTCATTCTCTGAATTATCTGATTCTGAGTGGCCCCTGCTGGCACTCCCATTGCCCGCCCCATAGGGACTCCCTTGGCAGTGTCCTCTGCCCCAGGCCCAAGGCACGGCTAGTTCTCCTGCCGGTGCTCAGGGCCTGGGGGCACTGCGTGGCCTGGCCAGACCCTGAGCGCCGTCCCAGCAGCTCTGGAAGTGAAAACAGCCCTGGTTCCCGAGGAAGCCACCTCCAGCAGGCCCAGCACATTCCTCAGGCTTATCTGGGGGCCCCGCCCCGCTGGACTCTGCCCTCCCACCCAGAGGGACTGCTGAGGAGTCCCAGGGCCGCGCTGGGCCCTGTGGGCGGGGAGAACCAGGTAGAGGAGGGGTGGGGTCTGCCCAGACAGGCCAGGCAAATTGTTCTTAACCTCAGGGGATGTGGGGTCTGCTCAGACCCCAGACTCTGTGCCATCTTCTGGGGAACCCCGATGCCCACCTCTGGAAAGGTGCCCGTGGGCCTCCAACAGGAGCCTGGGAGGGACAGTAGTCCCAGGCCGCCGCCTCCTCCTCCTCCCTCTCTCTCCTCCTCCTCCTCCTCCCCCTCCTCCTCCTCCTCCTCCTCCCCCTCCTCCCCCTCCTCCTCCTCCTCCTCCTCCTCCCCCTCCTCCTCCTCCTCCTCCTCCCCCTCCTCCTCCCCCTCCTCCTCCTCCCCCTCCTCCTCCTCTCCCTCCTCCTCCTTCTTCCCCTCCCCCTCCCCCTCCTCCCCCTCCTCCCCCTCCCCCTCCTCCTCTTCCTCCCCCTCCCCCTCCTCCTCGGGCCCCGCCTCCAGTGCGGGCAGCACGGTCCTCCCAGGAAGGGGTTAACGGTGAGCCCCAGCCTCTGGAGGGAGGGGACTGGGCTGGACCATTTTCCTCGCTGCCTGCCGCCACCGCCTCCACCTCGGCTTTCCTGAATGGTTCTGCCGCCCAGGGGTGGGGAGGGAAGGGAAGGAAGGAGGGCGGGGGAGGGGGGAGGAGTGTGGGAAGAGGAAGGAAAAAAGAGCGAGCCAGCCGGGAAGAGAAAGATGTCACTGCCTCCTCTCCCTGTCACTTCCATCTGCAGCGGGCGCCGGGCGAGGGAGCCGCCGGGACAATGCTGAGGCGGGCGAGGTGAGGCGCCGGCTCTGCCTCCGCCGGCAGCGCCCGAGGGGCGTCTCGAACAGGTGATCGGAGGAGCCACCCGGAAGCCGAGGCCACCTGGGCACCCCTCTGCCCCCCCCGCCCCCCCCACGGCCAGGCCCTGCCCCCGCCAGAGAAGCTGGGGAAACCATGGCGACCAATTTCAACGACATCGTCAAGCAAGGCTACGTGAGGATGAAGAGCAGGAAGCTCGGGGTGAGCCCCCTCCGGGGCCTGCGGGGGGTGGGGGTGGGGGGGGAGGGCGCAGGAGGGGCGGGTGCGGAGGGCCTGCCCCGGAGCCGGCCGGGTTGGGGGACCACAGCCCAGCGTCCTGCATCTGCCTCTGGGCTTCTGCCCGGCCCGGCCCTGCCTGCTGCAGCCCCCGCCCCGGCAGGATGGCTGGCATCCCAGCCGCTGGGCCAGTGGTGGCAAGCCGATGGGCCGATGGGCTGAGGTGCCGGCAGCTCCTGGCTATTGTTGAAGTTGTCCTCAGGGCAGCGGGCAGGGGCTGGAAATGCCGGGCTGTGAGCGCCCAGACCAGCTCCACTTCCCCTCTCCTCTCCTCTCCTCCTCTCCTCCCCTTCCCCTGCCTCTCCCCTCCCCTGGCCTCTTTTCTTTAAGTGCCTCCTGCTTCCCACTGCTCTGTGTATGGGAATGTATCTGCTTATCTCCGGCGGGCGGTCGCTCTCACCGTTAAGGAAGTGTGTGAAAGGAGGGGGCTGGCTGTGGGGGTGCGCTGGGGTGAGGGGTGCAGAGGCCGATGCTTATGTGGTTCGTGACTGAGAACTTGGGCCCTCGGCTCCGAGTGGCTCGTCTGCGCTCGGCGTTTGGGTGTTTGGCCCCGAGCTGGGGCTCCGAGGGCTGGGGGAGACGAAGCCTCGGGCACTGGGGTGGGCACCCTCTCCCACACCCTGCTGGGAAGCCCCCTCGAGGGCATGAGCAGGGACCTGACCAACTTCATGTTCTTAGTGGGACTGTCCAGGAGTTGCCCCTCTTCTTCTGAAGCCCCCTCTCCCCCACCCGCCCAGGAAGGGGGCTGGCCGCTGCCCTTCCCAGTAGGATGGAAGCCCTGGTGACAGGTGGCCCAGGTTGAGTGTTTTACCTGGGCCTCTGGTCCCTCCCTTCTCCCTCGCCTGCCCCGTGGTGGCCTTGATGGGGTGGGCGTGGGATCAGACGGCTCTGGGCTTCCCGGCCCTGCCTGAGGGGGTCGGGGAGGAGCAGGGCTGCACACCAGCCCCCCTGCCTGGGCGCTGGACCCAGCAGCGCTGGCCTTGGAGCGTGGACCCCGTCCTGCCTGAGGGCCCCGCGGGGGGACGTCTGACTGTCCAGCAGCAGAGCTGGTGGGCGGGCGTTTGCAGGCTCCTTGGAATTGGGGTTTGTGTCCATCCTGGGCCCCAGCCCAGAGACGGGTCTGGCGGCTCTCAGCCACTGCTGTCACCCTGAGAGAGGGTGGCACCCATGGGGAGCACAGGACGGAGAGAGAGCCTGAGGCGGGGCTGGGAAGCCGAGTGGATAGGGGCTCAGTCCTAGTGTGGCTCCTCCTCCCTGTGGGCCCAGACCCGGCAGGTCCCCAGGCGCTTGCTGGGCTGGGGCGCCTTCAGGATAAAGCTCACAAGCTGGGCCCAGCCCAGGGGGAGAGGGGTTGGGAGCTGGCACATGGCTAGGCCCCAGCTGGGGTCTCCCCCCTCGGCGATCTGATCCGGGGGACTGCAGCCACCCCTCAGGACAGCCATGATGGCCTCCGCTCCGAGGGCCGGGGGAGGGGCTGGCAGAGATGAGAAGGCCCCTGCCTGCCAGCGCCTTCCTCCAGGCCACGGTGCATGCGTGCGGGCTTTCTGAAGTGCTGATCAAAGACTGCGAGAAGTGGGGAAGGACGGCTCCTGAGCGCAGCGGCTCCCTGGGGCTGTGTGTGTGTGTGTGTGTGTGTGTGTCTGTAACCAGGCAACCAGGGTGCTCAGGCCCCCCAGGCCTCTTGCCCCTGACGCTGCAGGCTGCATGGAGCCCAGCCTGGCAGGGCATTCATTCATTCAGGGTCCGGTCATACGGCCATTCACAGCTCTGTTAACGAGGCTGCCAGGATGTGCGTGAGGATTCCCGGAATAAAACGGTGTTTGTCCACAGGGGGCCGGCTGTGGTTTAGGTAGATGGGCCTGGGGCTGAGCCGGGATCATGGGACGGGGGCCGCCTGGGTCCCCTGTACCCTGGGACTCTGCCTGACAAAAGCCTGGGGCCTGACAAAGGCCTGTGGTGGCAGAACAGGGCTGGGGAGGGGCAGGGGCTTGGGGCTGTGCCAGTGAGAGGAGACCAGAGGTTTCTGGGGAGTGGGCTGCAGGCTGCTGGGTGCCTGCGGAAAGAGGGACATTCTAGCCAGACTCTGGACCCTAAGAGAGCCCGAGTGGTGGGGGAGGGGACATGGAAGGAAGAGGCACAGCCGGGCGGGTGGCGAGGGCCACCCCTCACATTGTCTGAGCCAGTTTGCCCTGTAGCCCTTGAGACTGGTCCTCTACCCGCCTCCCTCCCTGCACCGCCCCCCCCCCCCCCCCCGGCTCCTGGGCACAGGGTCACTGGCAGTTGGGAACCTGGATGGGGAAGGCACTGGGTTCCTAGACCTTGAGATCCTCTGGTTTCCCAGCTGGAACCGGCCGCTGTCCCTGCCCCCTGCTCCCCAGGCTGGTTAGAGAAGGAGGAAGTGTGTGAGTGGAAGCTTCTGGAGGGAGGGGGTGATGTGCAGGCTGGCGGTGGGCACGGGGCTGAGCCCCACCCTGGGACCCCTGCCGCTGTGGCCGATGCTGCCGGAGCCTGGGCAGCGCTCGGGGTGCCGTGGGCTCCGGGTTCTGGCCCTGGGGCTAGACAGCCTGCGTTCCAGACTCACTGCCGTTTACCAGCCGTGACGTTACCTTTTGGTGCCTCCGTTTCCTTATTTACAACGTCGAGATAATAGAACCGACCTCAGGAGTGACCTCGAGTAACTGTGTGGAGCGCTCATACCAAAAGCACCAGTGAGAGGCACTCCATAAACACACTGGCTTCTGTCACAGGAGAAAACCCGACTCCTCCTCGTCCCTCGGGGTCCCAGGAGATTGGTTCCAGGGTCCCCACGGATACCGAATCCACGGATGCTCAAGTCCCTTATGTAACGTGGCCGAGGACCATGCCTCCAGGCGGGCCTCTGCACCGATTCCCAACCACACATCCCTGGGCTGTATGTTTATGGGGGAGTGGACAAACCTGAGTGGTTCCAGGGGCACTGTGCACTGCGAGCCCAGCTCACAGTAATGGCGTCCACCTGTGGACGAGCCTTTCCGAGCGGCCAGGAAATAACTGCCTCTCCCCAGGGGCTGTCATGCTGGTGTCCGCTGTCCCCGGGTTTCCCCTGGGCTGGGGCCTCCGGGACGGCTGTGCGGCACTGCCCCCTGTGGCAGGCAGGGGTCACTGCAGGGCCACGTTGGGTGGGAATGGGGAAGCCTGATCCCCCGGTCCTTGTCCTCCGGCCCCTCAGATCTACCGCAGGTGCTGGCTGGTGTTCCGGAAGTCCTCCAGCAAGGGGCCCCAGCGGCTGGAGAAGTACCCGGACGAGAAGTCCGTGTGCCTCCGAGGCTGCCCCAAGGTGAGGGGCCCGGGCCCTAGCTCCCCTGACCTGTAAGCAGCGGGTCCAAGAGCACCCTGCTGGGGGGGAGGCAGAATGGGGGGGGGGGGTGCGGAGAGAGGGGCTCCCGTCTGGCTGAGTCCCCTGTGGATGCTGCTGCAGGTGACCGAGATCAGTAACGTGAAGTGTGTCACACGACTCCCCAAGGAGACCAAGAGGCAGGCGGTGGCCATCATCTTCACGGACGACTCGGCCCGCACCTTCACCTGCGACTCCGGTGAGGGCCTGGGGCTGCAGACTTCCCGTCGCTCAGCGGACCAGCTGGAGGAGGCAGAGCAGGGCTAGCTCTGGCTGGCGGGAGGGCCGGGGTGTCTGTGAGCGAGCAGGCCCCAGGATGAGGGGTAGACAGGCGGCATTCACACTGGCCCTGCCCCCCAGGGTGGGATAACTCGGGCTGAGAAGATGGGGTGGGCTCCAGGGGGGACCCTGAGCCTGCAGCGCGACGAGGCCCCGTCTCCCTAGAGCTGGAGGCGGAGGAGTGGTACAAGACCCTGTCTGTGGAGTGTCTGGGGTCGCGGCTCAACGACATCAGCCTGGGAGAGCCGGACCTCCTGGCCCCGGGGGTGCAGTGTGAGCAGACAGGTGAGGCCTGGCGGTGGGTGGGGAGGAGGGCACCGGGGGCGCCCCCCTGCAGGGAAGCTCCGGCCCATTCCTCCTCTCGCCTCCAGATCGCTTCAACGTCTTCCTGTTACCCTGCCCCAACCTGGACGTGTACGGCGAGTGCAAGCTGCAGATCACCCACGAGAACATCTACCTCTGGGACATCCACAACCCCCGCGCGAAGCTCGTCTCCTGGCCCCTCTGCTCCCTGCGCCGCTACGGCCGGGACGCCACGCGCTTCACCTTCGAGGCCGGCCGGTAGGACCCTCCGGCCCCCCCGGCCCCCCGGCCCCGGCCCCCCACGGTCATGGCGGTGGCCGCCCTCCACTGCGGGTCAGGCCCCGTGCTGGGAGCGGAAGTCGCTCACTGGTGTAGCAACCCCCAAAGGGAACGTAACATTCCCATTGTATGTTCCCCGTGGAAGCTCACCCCGGCCGGCAGGCCACGTGGGACAGCTTAGTACCGAAGTCAGACTCTCGGGGCTTAGATCAAACGCTGGCACCGACGCCAGCTCTGGGGTTGTGGGCCCGAGCCTCCGTTTCCTCCTCTGTCGCGTAGGGGACGAGAGAGGACCTAACTTCATGGAACCGTGGGGAGGACTGGGCTCCACAGCGTGACCTCGGGGCCTGGATTCTGTGTGATCCTCCGTGTAACCTTGGAGTTCCTCACCCTCTGTAGGCCCGTTTCCTCACTGCACAGTGGCTCGAGAAAACCCCTAGAAACGAGGAAACGAATCGTGTGCAGAGCAGGGGGGAGGGGAGAGAAGGAATGGGGTTCATTCCTGCAGAGCGTTTAGACCACCCCCGGGCGGAGGCGCAGAACGTTCGAGAATGTTCGAGCCGGGGGTCAGACCCCAGGGCGACAGCCTGCCTGTGCCCCAGAGGGCCCAGGGCACAGGAGAACTCATGTGCCACCCAATCAAGCTCACGCGTGGGTGCCACGGGGTCCCCGCCACCTTCCATGCCACTGTCCCGCCAGGATGTGTGACGCTGGGGAAGGGCTGTACACCTTCCAGACGCAGGAAGGGGAGCAGATCTACCAGCGGGTCCACAGCGCCACCCTGGCCATCGCCGAGCAGCACAAGCGGGTCCTGCTGGAGATGGAGAAGAATGTGAGGGTGAGGCAGCGGGGGTCCCGGCCCAGGGTGCAGGGGAGGCCGGGCAGGGATGTGCCAGGGGGTGTCTCCCCTTAGGGTGCCCGCAGGAGAGGCAGGCACGGTCCTGGGCTGGCTGCCGGCGGGCAAGCCACTGTCCCCAGGGCTAACGGGAGGGACCCCCTTTCCTGGCCCGCAGCTGCTGAACAAGGGCACGGAACACTACTCCTACCCCTGCACGCCCACGACCATGCTGCCCCGCAGCGCCTACTGGCACCACATCACGGGCTCCCAGAACATCGCCGAGGCCTCCAGCTGCGGCGGTGAGTCCCCGCGGCGCCCCTCGGCCACCTGCCACGAGGCTCCGTGGACGACGAGGCCTCCTGGGCAGGGACCTTCCGGCCCGGACCCAAGCCCTGAGCCCGCCCCTGTGTCCACAGGTGAGGGGTACGGGGCGGCCCAGGCCAGCTCGGAAACGGACCTCCTCGACAGATTCATCCTGCTCAAGCCAAAGCCCAGCCAGGGGGACGGCGGCGGGGCCAGGACGCCCGCCCAGTGACAGCGGGCTGGTGCGCACCACCGACTGCGGGGCTGCCCGCCGCGCACCGAGGACAGCCGCGAGGGGGGGCTGCTGGCCACGCGCCTGGAGAAGGGGAGCCGCTGCCCCTTCCTCGCCCCCACGGGGGAGGCCGGACCGAGGCAGAGGGCTGGCCACACGGCCCGAGCATGTGCGAGCGGCTAGAGCTACCGTGGGACTATTTCCTGTTCGTGATGTTAATATTTATATACGGCTTATGACACGTCCTGTGTTAACGAGATTCCCCCGTCCCTCCCTGCCGCCACGTCCACTTTTGAATCCCATGACCAGGCCACCGCCGCGGCTGGTTCTGAACGTGCTCCGTGGCACAGCCTCCCGCTCAGCTGCCAGGACCTGCCTGAGCTGCCAGGACCCGCCTGAGCTGCCGGGGGCCGGAGGCAGACAATCAGAACTCAAGGCTGGTGCTGCTGGCAGGCTCTTCCCAGGAGCCAAGGGCTAAGGCAGCAAGTGGCTTCTCAGTTCCTCTGGGCCCAGTGGCGCAGGAAGGATCCGAACTCCCGCCGTGCCACTTGCTGACATCCGGCTGACACCTCAGTGAAAAGCTGGTTTGAAGAAGACAGTTTCTGCCCGGGCTCCTTCCCGCTTTGTAAGCCGGGGAGACCTCTGTGGGCAGGAGAGCTGGTGGCCTCGGCCGGGAGACGCCGCCAGGCCAGGAGGGGGGGCCGACGGGACTGCTGTGGGGAGCTCCCTGCGGCCCCCCCTCGCTGACCCGGGCTGGCAGTGCCCCTGCGGAGAGAGGCCCCTCTCTGGCTGGCCACCCTTTGGCCAGAAAGTACTCAGAAACCAGCCCTCCCACTTCCTCCCCACATGGTGCTGAGGCTCCCTGCTGAGATGCAATTAAAGCAATTGATTTTCTAGCGCTGGTATTTATTGACTACTGGGCAAAGGGCTATCTTTCTATCCACATCAAACCTTCCGTTGTGTGTGTGTTTTTTTTTTTAGTGTTTTTTCCCCTTAAATACTTAGGGTTCTGATTTGTGGGAACAGACCTTGTTACCCTGATGTAAATAACCACTCTTCAAAGTTGTGGCAGGAGGAGGATGAAGCTGGAGGCCCCTCCAGCAGAGGCCCGGAGCCAAGGAGGTGGCCTCGGCCAGCTCAGCTCGGAGCTGAGCAGGGAGCGACCACCAGAGGCACAGGCCTGCAGGAGCGCCCGCCGGGGCCTGGGGGGGGGGGGGGGGGGCTGCTGGCTCAGCGCGCAGCAAGATGGCGCATGGAGGAGATTATGTTGTGCTCTTTATTGCCAAAAATAAAAACTGCTGTTAATAAATACTCCGTCCTTTCTGTGCTGTATCTCCTGTTTTCTCCAATGCCGCCCCCCCCCCCCCCCCCCCCGCCAGGCTGCCTCATTAACTGCTCCGGGTATGTCCCTGCCAACAGGACTAAGGGGTCAAGGCCAGACCTTCATTAAGGCTCTTGCCCACCCCACTCACCCCTCCTCTCCCCCCCCCCCCAACTAATTAAGCAGATCACTGGCATTGAAGTCACAACTGATGGGTAGAGAATGAAATACAGGGTTTATTTGGGGGGGAGGGAAGAGCAGCCATATCCAAAGACATTGGGGAATTTGAGCAAAGTGTAGGCTGACCACGGGCAGGGACTGGGTTTGCAGGGGGCCTGAATGAGACTTCTAACACTCAATCCTAACACGGAAACCTAAGGTACAACTGTGAAATGCTAACTTCCACACACACACTAAGTCAGGAGCTCAAATGACCAACAGAGGAGGGTCTAGCCCAGTGGTTTTCAACAGGGAAGCAGTGCGACCTCTACAAGCAGGCCAGGGGGGTGGAGGGCTGGGTTCTGGGGAGACCAGCCATCAGCAGGCAGGGCCAGGGATGCTGCATGCTCAGGGAAGGACTGAACTGCCTCAAACACCAGGGGCACCCCCGTAATCTACCTGGGACCAAGCAAGGATGGGGGGACCCTTCCCCTCTGCCACCTCTCCGGCTGGTGCTGATGGCTTGCGTGGAAGTGAGGTACAGCTGTCGGGACTTCTGGGGCTGGGAGGGTCTCGGGAGACCTGCACACAGCTGCTGCTCGGATCCTTTTCCGCTAGGCGGATGAGCTGCGGCTATTAGTTTATGGTGAGGACGTCACTCTGGATCTCGTGGCTCAGCTGGGTCTGTAAATCACTCAGCTTCTTCTTCAGCCCAGAAAGGGCCGAGAGGACGATGGTCTCAGGGCGCAGAGAGCCACAGGACTCCACGTTGTAGTAAAACCTGAGGGGCGGGAGTCCAGTGAGAGCCGCCCCCGGGGCTGGTGACCTGAGCTCGGCCGGGGCCACCCCTTGCCCTCCCGCGTCGTCCTCTACTCCTTCCCGACCAGGAGCGCAGCCGTGTCTGCGGTTGACCCCACCCTCTCACAGCGCGCTTCTTACAGGACCTCTGTGGCTCTACGGCTGTGCCTGCACTGAGGAGCGCGCGGAATAAACGAGCGGGTCGCACGGCCAGCGTCTGCTCCTCACTAGGAGACTGACCGGCTTCTGGCCCTGATGTGACCCCATCTTTGGATGCTGCGAGCCAGAACCGGAGGAGCTTGGGTAATTGAGGAGCCTCTTTTTCAGTGACTAAAGGGGGGGGGGGGGGTGTGTGCACCCATTCTGGGTTCAGCCGTCTGCAGCCCCTCCTCAGGGGCTTTCTGGAAGCTCAGACATGAGGGCAAGGGTCACCCTAGCTCAGAGCCTGCACCGAAACTGTACGTTCCTACACATTTCGCCGTCCGTACCGGCCCAGGCGCTTACCTCTCCGGCTTGCCATTGGGGTCGTACGGAGCCTGGGACTCGTCTTCATCCAGCTCTGAGTACTCGCTCTTTGGCCTGAGGTCAAACACAGGTCAGCACCCGGTTGTTCCTGCAGTGAGTCTGCCCATCTGGGTCACTAGGAGCCGTGTCCACCCCATGCCCTCTACCCGCCGCCGCCATCCCCCGCGGGCACCTACCACTCCTCCGGCTTGGGGTACACCGTGTGCCTCAGGGCATTGTCGGGATCGTATTCAAAAGCCACACCCGCGGTCGGGTTCCACTTAGCATGCTCCTTGCCAAAGCCCTTCTTGGCATAGGCACGGAGGCGCAGCTCCTGGCCCTTGCGCAGCTTGACGATGAGGATGTCTGCGGAGGGAGGTGGGAGTCGGGGCAGGGCCAGGAGAGGCACGGTCCCCCCCACATACACCTGGGGTGCCACTGGAAGGAAGGCCACACAATTCGGGAAAAAGGACCAAAAACCAGCACGAGGCTGTCTGTCTGTCTCTGCCTCCCTGTTCTGCCGAGCAACAGGTCGGTAACCATCGGCACACTCACGCCAGGCCCTTACCGTCCTGGTCCACGTAGTCATTAGGGTCGTTATCTCGGTTCCGGGATGTCACCTGCCGGAGCCCAAACAGAGACGTTAGCTGCTCAGCTCCTGCTCTTCTGGCCAGTACCTCCCAGCTCTCCCAGGTCACAACCCGCCGACCAGGGGCAGGTCGCCCACAGGGAGGGCAGGGGCGCCTGCCAGGACCAATCTGTGCGAGTGCCTGCCCTCCCACCCCTGCTGCACGGCTTTGAACAGTCCTCCGTCAAAACAACTCCGTGGCCTTTTATTTCCTTTAAAACTGATCTCAGAGAGGAAGGGGGAGACAGAACCATCAGTGATGAGAGAGAATCACTGATTGGCTGCCTCCTGCATTGGCCCCTATTGGGGACTGATCATGGGCATACGTCCTTGACTGGAATTGAATCCAGGACCCTTCAGTCCACAGGCCAACACTCGATCCACTGAGCCAAACCAGCGATGGCTATACTGTGGCCTTTTAAAGGGGCCTGGGCGACAGAGGGCCCACCCAGCAGGAGCCCAGGATGAGCATGTCCACCAGGGGTGACACAGGGCAAGCTGGTGCCGTAGGCGGATCCTCCCCCGCCCTGCCCCGCCCATCCAGAGGCAGAAGGAGAAGAGCCAAGGGCCTGGGCAGGGGCTGTCCTTAGCCACTGACCGGAATGACCCGGGGGCTGTTGGAGATGAGGTCTCGAGACGTGACGTGACGAGTCTGGTCTTCGTTGCACCGCACGTCCAGAGTGAACTCCACTGAGCACTCCGGGCAGAACTCCTCGCACGTGCAGTCCTGAGGGGGGGAGAGAGCAGGTGAGTGTGTGTGTGTGTGTGGATCCTGAGCTCCCTGCTTGCGTTCCCAGTTCCCACTATTTCTTCATCTAGAAAAGGGCTGACCAGTCTCCAGACTCTGGGAGCTGGGTCAATCTGGGGACCTTCTCCACTGCAGGCACTTCCCAGATTAGAGACAACCGTGTGTGCTGACACCCGCACTCCTTCCACACCCGCCAGCTGCCAGGCTGCCACCGACACGCACTGTTCACATCTCAGCCTGGCCCTGGGCGTCTCCGTCCCAGAGAACTGCGGCAATCCTCTAGCTCAGCCCCCACGGACCAGGTGGACCAGCCCGGGAATAGAATCATTTAAAGGAAATAAAAGGAAACTGGGAAGAAGTACCTTTCAAGTTCTGGGCTACTGACCTTTTCTTAAAGCAAAACAAAACACACCACACACACGTATATATGTAAAAAATAGCAAATGTAACAAAATATTAACAATTGGCAACAAAGGTAAAAAGTAAATGGAATTTATTGTTTCTTCAACTTTTCTGCAGATTTTCAGAAAAGCTTGCGCACGCGCGCACACACACACACACACACAAAGGACCATACCATCTTTCAGTAATGCAACACTAGAGAAAATTTAATAGCCCAGCGGGTGTGACATAGTGGTTGAGCGTCAATCTATGAACTTGGTCATAGTTGATTCCCTCTCAGGGCATGTGCCCAGTAGGGGGCGTGCCTGATCCTTTCTCCCTCTTCTTCAATGGGAGGAACAGCTAGGCCATAGGGCGTGCCTATCTTTATATGAGACATGGCCAGAGCCTCTTCAGCAGACAGGCTGCACACCTGTCCCCACCGATATCTGACGCTTTATTTCTTAAAAACAAAAATCTGAAGATGTGAAGCAAATATGGCAAAATGTTAAAATGTGACAAAATGAGCGCATGGTATCTGTTATATCAGCTACACACTTACACACACGCACACATTTGTATTCACAGGACCTATCAAATTAGCCGCCACAAAAAATGACACGCTCTTGGGAATTAGATGGGCTGATTCAGGATGGAGCAAAGCCATCAAAAGGGAATAGTCTCAAGCTTCTATCCAATGCAGTCCTGGTGAAGAGAAGCGGTAACCTATCCTGTCCCGTTCTCTCCCTGGAGGGAGGAGCCACGTTTACTAGCATCACCTACTGGGTGAGCCACAAATCTGGTGGCAGCCACCGGCACTCCGGTCTCTGGGTGCTGCTCAGCGGGCAGGTCTCACTCCCTCTCTTGTCCTCACCCTCCCCAACCTGCGGTTGACTCCCTTTAACCTCCTAGGCCCCGTCACTGGGAAGAGACGCCCTGGAAAGCAGAATCGGAACAGAACAGACTGAAATGTCCCTCCCCGCTTGTCCACACGGACATTCTAGTGTATCCCCCCCCCCACCCCCTCTTGTGTGACGGACGCCCTGAGTCTCATCAATCTGAGGCCCGGCAGAACCAAGGACCAATGCCTGCCGTGGGCTCCAGACAACATCTCCACATTGTCTTCCTAAGAGCTGGAAGCAAGATGTCAGGAAAACGCTTCTGAGAACGGAGGGCCCCGCCCCCCGGCCGCCCAACCCCCCCGGCTCACCCGTGAGTACTGCAGCTTGTCCACAATGTCGTCACTGGTGAGGGGGATCAGCCCTGCAAGACACGGAGAAGCGCTTCGAAGAAGGCCAAGCAGCCAAGCCAAAAGGAGAGCCTGGCAGTCCCCGTGGGAGTGAGGAAGCTTCCTCTCTGACACCAGACACAGCCCCGCCCTTGCCCTGTCCCGAGCCCGGCACTCACCAAGCCTGTGAGCGATGAATTCGTCATGAAGGACCGAGGAATTGGCGTCGATCTGAACCCAGTCAATGGCTGAAACGTGAGGGAAGCAGACATGCAGCTTAGCCTCCGAATTCTAACAGCTTACAGCCGTGCTTCCCGAGATGTAGAAATCACCAGGTGCGTAAGGTGCAGAGGCCTGGGCCCGGCCGCCAGACTGACTCCCACAGCCTTAGAACAGGGCCCAGGAATCTGCATTTTCACCAGAACCCCACAAACGCCACACCCCACACACCCCTTCCCTGCTCAGCGGGGGTTAATGCGGGGTCCCTGGGCCACAGAGAAAAATGACGGCCTAGCGAACAGTACAGGAGCGGGAGCATTTCCTTTGAGCAGAACATTCCCCAGAGCAGCAAGTACATCTGCTACTCATGCCAACGTGAAACCCAAGAACACAAACTCTTTGGGCACTTAAATCCCAGGGAAAGCCTCGAGGTAACACAGACGTCCAGCCCATATCTTATTTGATGGCATAATGACCAGATTACCCTTTATTAACACCACATTACCACTCAATCAACCCACGTTGACAGAATTCCTCCAATGGGCAAGACATACTCAATATAAAACCCAGTCCCCACCAGCACGGATAGCAGGAGGGGGAAGGACTGCATGCTCACACACATCTGAATGACTTAAGCACACATTCATTCATTCCTTCACATCTGCATGTAAGTACATTCGTAAAGCAAACGGCACTGGAGCCCACTTGTCAAATAAAAGAGGTGTAAATATAGAAATGGAGGTCCGAGGAGGACCAGACACAGCCAGGCCCGCCTGCTTTCTTCCACGCTTCCTTCTCTCAACCCAAGTCAGACAGGGACGAGCTAACCTTCCCAGTCTCTGTCCCTTCACAGCCGCATCTCCCTCCCGCGCCCCCTCGCCCTCCCCAGTGAAGGTTAAAAACCTCCGGGCCTCCATGATACAGATACAGGAGCCTCGGACTGACCTGTGGCAGAGCCACATACAAGTCCCAGCTTGGAGGGGAGAGCCTTCCTGGCACAATTAAGCTTGACCTTACAGTCCTCCCTTGTTCCTAGGTAGCTAATGGGCTGTGGGAGGTGCAGCTTGAGTAACAAAATAGATTTGAAACTCACATGAACATTGTAAACGTGTTGACCACGCCCCTTGCTTTGCTTTGTGTGATGTGACTATAAAAGCTTTGGCTTACAGGCTGGGTCACTGTTTCCTCATCCAGGCACAGTGATCCCACCTGGCCCCAACTGTATTCTCTTGTCTTCTTTAATGCTTCACCGCCCCCCCTCCCTCAAGTTCACCCTCCCTGTAAGCTCTTCCCTAAAAAATCCTGACCAGATTTCTCTTAAGACACTTGTCATATTGTGCCTTGTGTTACACTTATGTGGGTCTTGTCTCTACCTCAAGCTCCAAAAATCCCCTGGGGCAGGTCTTCAGATATCTTAACTTTTGTATTCCTACCTCTAGGCTGGAACATAGCAGGTTCTCATTTATTTGCGGGACTGAATGGGAAAAGTGGCATTTAAATTTAAATCAGGCTGCATCATAAAGTGCAACTCCCTCATTTTACTCCTGATGAAACCCAGGCCCAGAGACAGGAGCGATCAGGCAGAGGGAGGGCCAGCACACCAAGCTGTGACCAGATGGGGAGGTGGGGGATCAACTACAATGTCCTCCCATTTACCCATTTGGCCTGCACACCCGTTCCCACCAATATTCCCTTCGGAGTAGGCACACCTGATGCAGCAGCTGACTTACATTTCGCTTTCCTAAACTCTCTAAGCTGACACTCAGAAAATATTGGTAGTTTGTGTGCAAATTTGCAAGATACCTGGAGCATTGAGGCTGGAACTAGAGCAAAAACAGATCCTCCCTCTAAGCCAATGGTTCTCAACCTTTCTAATGCTGTGATCCTTTAACATAGCTCCTCATGTTGTGGTGACCCCCCAACCATAAAATTATTTTTTGTTGCTACTTCATAACTGTAATTTTGCTACTGTTCATGAATCTTAATGTAAATATCTGTGTTTTCCGATCATCTTAGGCTCTACAGCAGCGGTTGTCAACCTATGGGTCACGAGTCTAAGCCAACAGCACCGGAGCCCGGCTTCTCCCAATGTTGGACCAAAGCTACCTTGCATTAATGTCGTCTGTGGGCTCATCTTTCCCCTGCAACTTCGCTGTGAGCTCTATGAAGGCAGGAACCCTGTCCTATACAGCTAGATCTGCATTCCCAGTGCCCAGCCACTGCTGGCACTTACATGTTCCACAAATGCAGTTGAAACAGATTCATAAAAAGACACCTAGCAGCCCTGGCTGGCATTGCCCAGTGGTTAGAGCGCTGGACGCCGGACTGGGCACTGGAGGGTCTCAGGTTCCATTTCAGGTCAAGGGCACATAACCTGAGTTGTTGTTTCAATCCCTGGCCCTGGCTGAGCTGCGTGCAGGAGGCAACCAATTGATATGTCTCTCTCACATCAATGTTTCTCTCCCCCTCCCTTCCACTCTCTCTAAAAATCATTGGGAAAAAATATCCTTGGGTGAGATTAACAACAACAATAAAGACATCTAGCAGCACTGAACACTCACCACACGTTAGGCACTGAATAGTGAATACCTTACTTCATCCCTGCCATCATAGGTACTAACTAATAGCGTCCCAATGTTACAGAGAAAACCACAGTTTCAGACACCGTAAGTGAACACAGTACTCGAACCCAAGTTCGCAGACTCCTGCACCCATGCTCCTCACCCATGCAAATTAAGAGTGGACCTGAGTGTACGTGGCCTTTGGGGGCCAGGGAGGTGATCTTGGGCCAAGGGCACAGGGTCCGATCAAGCTTCCAGCATCGCTGCTTTCTCAGCGACACTCCCTGCCCCTGCCCCTCCATCCCTCCACGCCCCCACCCCCCGCCTCACCCAAACCGGGGCTGCAGGCAGAAGCCCCAGGGTGTGTGGTCGGGGGATCGAAGGGTGGAGGTGAGTCTGGGGAGCACTCGAGGCCCTGGCAACGAGGAAACGGGGCTGCTTACCTATTATGGGCACCTCGGCGATGAAGACCCTCCGAATAGAATTAGCCACCCTGAGGGATGGAAACAGGCGGGGTGAGGGCACCGCAGCCTCGACAAACCGGCTCCCCCACCCCCACCCCACCCCCGTTCCAACGTGAAAACCATGGCTCGGCGCAGGGGACCTGCAGGCTCGGCCCGTTCTCCCTCCCACCCTCCACCCCGGCTGCGGCCCCGGCGCCCCCGAGCCGCCGGCCGCTCCCCGCAGCAGCCTTACGCTAGGTCCGTGTTCTCGATGATGAACTTGACGTTCTCGTCGGTGAGCTCCGTGATCCGCACGGTGGGCTGGTTGGCATACGGCATCGTGCTCCGCGGCCCGGCGGGCCGCCGGCGTCCACCCTGCAGCGCGCCCCCCGCACCGGAAGTCACAGGAAGTCGCTCAGCGCGGCCCCCACCGCTTCCTCGGAGACGCGCCCACAGCACCACCTACTGCTCGGAGGCCGGGACTGCTCCGGGCTCGCCGTTTTCTACCCCACCACCTGGTTTCAATGCGCCAACTGGGACCATCTAGGATGGCGATTTGGCAAAACACGCATACATCCTTGACTCAACAAGAAGGCTTCCAGGAATTTAAACTGCAGAAATGTTCATACATAATTTCAAGCAAAGATATATTTACAGGGATGATCACTGCAGCACAGTTTGTAACATCAAAAAATAAATAAAATTGTCCATTGAGAGGCCTGGTGAAATATACAAACATAGAAATACTATTGTCTTTTAAAAGAATGAAGTTTGTACATTTATGAAAAAACAAAAGTGTACCTTAGCCAAATATACTTGAATGATAGGTATATACCCTTTCCCTTCCCACCCGCAGCCTGAGCTGACCCTGAATTCAAGAGTTAACCATACTTGCAAAAGCCCAGCCAGCATAGAGGCCAAAAAAATTATTAGATTGTATCACTGAAATGGTTAGCAATAGACAAGCACAGCCAAAGGAGCTAACGGCGAGAGGACAGGCCCCTGTCACCCATTTTACTGATGGAAAGCCTGAGCCCAGAGAGGCAGCACCAGGACCAGAACTCGGGTCTCTTGGCTGCCAGCCTCAAACCTTCCCCACACTCTGCTCTCTCTCTGGGGTCTTGTATACCTGCCATGGGCTGGATGAAAACTAACTACACAACAGTAATTGGATTCAAACGTATTTATTAGTATTTTTACAGAGTCTAAGTTCACTAATAAGCCTGCACGCACGCACGCTGGTGTAATGCGACACCAGGCCTGAGACCACACCGCGGGCCTGTGAACCACTGTCCAGCAGGCACCTGTATCATGTGGCAGCTTTCTGAGGGGTCCCAGGTGCAGTATCTCAGGCTGCTGGAGAGGAAAAAGGCCGTAAGGAAGACCTGGGTGCATGTGCGTGTGCCTGTGCCTGTGCTGTGCTGTGGATCAGCTGCCGCAGGGCTAGCTTCAGACCCTGACTCTGACTTGGGAGTCCCAGAGAGCATTCTAGGAACATTAAGATATGACCTAGGTGCCTGTGAGACAGGGTAGGCCGGGCTGGGTTTCTGTGGCTTGAATGCTTGGATGAGAACCTCAGTTGTCAATCACACAACCGCAGGAAGACATCCGGAAGCCGGGCTTGGTACTAGGAACTGAGGAAGTGGCCCACTCCCGGGCTGCAACTCTATCATCAGGTGCCCTGTGGCTTCCAGGTGGCTGTGGTGGTGACTCAGGAGTTCTGTCCTGTGCTGGCACTTCATACTGTTCAATGTCCTTTAAATATATCCGCAGGCTTTCTTGCGGGCACTCTAGCTCATTCCTCTCCTTTCTTGCTCACCGGCGCTGGTTCAGACCTGTCAGGTTCTTGAGCTGATAAAGGGGTGGAAACAGAGTTCTAAGGCCTTGCCTTGCCCCAGGACTTCAATGGGAGAGGTCAGGATTTTCAAGCAGCACACGTGGCGAGGGCCTGATGTCCCGGGGCCCAGGGAGTGAGCCAGTAAAAAACAAAGAGGTGGGCTATTTGGAATCAAGAGAATTGGACTGCACCGCTGTCAGTCTCACTACTAGTTTTCCAGTTCAAGGCTACAGAACTACTTGGGGTCAGGTAGTGGGATGGAGAAGGCAGGGATGAGCAGGGAAGTACCCACCGTCACTGCTGCACCCATGAGTCCTTGCACCAGTGCCTCTCCAGTGGACTTCACCTAGAAGGAGTCAGAGTCAGGTTCTCTTGGCCCTCACCACAGGCAAAGGTGAGACAGGTAGGGCAAACCAGCAGGCCTACTAGCCCCAGGTGGAGTCTAGAGGGCTGTGTACTGGAGGAAGAGCCTATGGACCACACAGCCCCAAACAGGCCAAGTGTGGCTCTTCGGAGAGGCTGCTATGAGGAAGAACCAGCCCAGCTCCCCGGGAAGGCCCTCAGGACTGTCAGCTGAGGCCAAAGGGAAGCAAGAGAGAGACAGTGCCCTGCTGTGACCCGAGGAGGGTGTGCCTGGCGAGGCAGCTTCCCAACGGCTAGCCCCATACCTGGTTGGCAGTGTGGCCCATGTTCATCGCATCGTTAATCCGGTTTTCCAAGAAGCGCCAAGTGTCCTCGAAGTCTGGGGAGGAGTCCTGCATCATCACCAGCTCGGTTGTGTTGTAGATGGCAGCCAGCACGGCCCGGCGGGTGTACCAGTTGAACTGCAAAGAGAACCACCCAGGCAGGCGGGTCAGCACTCCTGCTGCGGCCGAGGGCGATGGGGGAGTGGTTTCTGCCAAAGCCCCAGGCACGCATGGGCTTCCTCCCGATTTCTTCTTTCCACCACGTGGCTGTACCTCAGAATGACCTGGGAGATTAAAAACACAAGCTCCCAACCTGGCCGGATGGCTCAGTCGGTTGGAACATCATCCCGTGCACTAGAAGGTTGTGGGTTCAATTCTCAGTCAGGGCACATACCTAGGCTGTGGGTTCAATACCTGGTTCAAAGAGGGTACAGAAAGCAACTGATGTTTCTTTCTCACATCAGTGTTTCTCTCTCGCGCCCACCCTCTCTTTATTTCTTTCTAAAAATCAATAAACACATATTCTTGGATGAGGATTTTTAAATATTTTATTGATTTTCTTACAGAAAGGGAGAGAGATAGAGTTAGAAACATCGATGAGAGAGAAACATCAATCAGCTGCCTCCTGCACACCTCCCACTGGGGATGTGCCTGCAACCAAGGTACATGCCCTTTTAAGCCTGCGACTTTTAAGCCCACAGGCTGACGCTCTATCCACTGAGCCAAACCAGTTAGGGCGGGATGAGGATTTTTAAAAAATGTTTTTTAAAAAAAGCAAGCCCCCAGACCCAACCTCTTAGCGTTCAGTCAGTGGGTCCGAAGTGCCAGGAGTCTGGAGGTTTACGAAGGATGCAGGTGACTTTGCTACACGTGGTCCCTTTGGAACTGCTGGTGAAAAGACTGAGTCTTAGGCCATCTAAGTGCTGGGGAGGCTCTGGGGTCAGCCAGGTATGAGCGAACTGTAGTGTGTTCCCCTGGGCACGGGATGGCCGAGAATCATGGACGGCGAGAACAGCGAGGAAAAGCTGAAAGGTCAAGCCCTTTAGCGACGCTTCTTCGGAGCATGGCTCCGCTGCTTTGTGCTTTATTCCTTCAATTTCTCTGCTTTCTAATTTCACATTGCTATCACCTCCGTTGCTGGTATATTCCCGCAGGGGGAAGCTTATTAAAGCACTATGTTAGAACCGGGTGGGAGCATCTGTTTCCCCAGTCACGATATCAATTCCTTTTTATATACTTTATTTTTATATACGGTTTAAAAAACTTCCTTCCAGAAATATAATAGCATTCACAAGTCACCTTCTTTCCTGGGGCCTGTTTAAAGGCTTATTGGTTTCTTAGCAAAGCAGGCCAAGATGGGCTGGGGGTGGGAGTTTCTTTTTAAAGCAATGGTGTCTCCATGGCACTAAAAAAATCAGTCTCATGCAAGTCACACTGAGAAATCCTGCTGTAGAATATAAATTTTAGGAGACGGGGCGGGGGTGAGGGGTGCATTATAAAAGAGCAGCCCAATCACAAGGCCCTCTGGCGTCTTTTGTCACCGCTGCAGGCCGGAAGGAGGAGCACTGGTTTGTGAGTACTGGCTCCTGACTGAGGATGACCTGGATCCCACTGCGGCTGATGAGGGCCTTCCCTCACACCTCAGCCTCTCCTTCCCAGGAGGGGAATGGCCCTGCAGGCTCCTGCAGGGATTTGTGATCAAAGAAATGTCACAAACGTGTTGAAGAAATGCTCAACCCAAGCTTTTCCCAGCATCCCGTGGGCCTGCAGAAACACTCACGTCAGTGGACTGGTCCCCAGCGTAATGCCACATTTCGTCCACCATGTTGGTGAGCAGGCTCAGGCTGGCCGGGATGTTGTGAGGGAGCATGAGGATGCTGAGGGCCTGCGGGGAGAATGACAGGGGGAGGTAGGTACTGCACATGGGTGACAACCGCGCATGCGTGGCTGGTGCCTCACCTCTCCACTGACCTATGTAGGGGGCTTGCCCAGCTCGCATTCTGAGCCCACCTTTCACCCCCTCCTGGTGGCTAACAACCCTGACCACAGCCGATGGGAACCAGGGCCCATCCTACCCTCCTGGCCCATCAGATCCTCCATCCCCAGCATGTGGACTTGGAAATGCAGACAGCAGAGGATCAGGCCTTGTCTGAGTAGAGAGCGAAGATGGGGAGGGCACATGGAGGAAGAAGCAGAGATAGGAAGGGAATCTGGGGGTGGTTTCTGGGTCCAAATTCTAGGTCACATTCCTCCTCTTGTCCTACTGCAGCCTCACTAAGTTCCTCCCCCTGACCTTTTGCTCAACTCAAGTTGACTTGTTACTGAAAATAAATCCTTGAACACAAGCAATTGCACAATCCAGACTTCTCCATCAGCAGACACCACCTCCTGACAGCACAAGGTCTTGCCACTTTGAAAACTGTAAAGTCCTTGGCTAGGGCCTCTGGGGTTTGGACAGAGAGGTCCTGGATTAGCTGGAGAGTGACCTCTTGGTAAAGGAGCCCAGGAGGCAGCCAGGCCTAACGCACTCATTTTTATCCCTTGAACTGTGAGGCGTCTTTATCCCTTGAACACACCCGGCCTGGGCCTCACGTGTCTGTCCACTGACTGAGATGCCGTGTGCAATAGAGTCCCAGCGGGGTGGGGGTCACCAGACGGCTGTGCGCTCCTCTGATGTGCTTCGACTTTACTTAACGGAGAGAGGGCCCACACTGAGATGTGCTTTGAAAGAGGACAAAGGAAGCCCTTGGATGAAGCTCCAATCCTCACGCATCACACTGACTTCCTGAAAAGAAGGCCAGCCCCTGAGATCTGAGACAACAAGCCCGTTCAGGAAATGGCCAACACAACCTGCTGACTTTTCTCACATCCCTCCCGGACCCCTCCTCACTGAAGAC